GTAACTCCCCACATGAATATTCGTACGCTTTAGCAGTCATTTCATGGACATACACAGAGTGGTGAAAATTTCAAATCACCCAATACCATGTTTCCAGCTGAGATAGAATTAGGTGACACACTGTCTTCTTGTTCAGCTTCGTACTGTAAACAGATAACCTCCTCATAGTCTAATTAATGCCATATTTTTCACATTTTTGTGCTTTTTTTGCTTTTTAGAATGGCCCCCAAGCATAGTGTGGAGTTACTTTCTAGTGTCCCCAAGTGCAGGAAGGCTGTGATGGTGCCCTATGGAGAAAATATGTGTTAGGTAGGCTTTGCTCAGGCATGAGTTACAGTACTCTTGGCCATGAGTCCACTGTTAATGAATCAACCATATGTATTAAATACAATGTCTTCAAACAGAAGCACAACATAAAACTTGGTTACATATTGATGAGTTTATGAAAATGTGACCAGTCTGGCAGAAACCTAACCCTGTGCTTACCCTAGGAGCAATAATATATAGTATTTATTAATTCAGTGTTTGCAGCAACTTTATAGAATGTGGCTACTATGAATGATGAAAATTGACTGAATGTATTTATTTTAAACAAACTTTAATGCCTGGCTCAAGCCATTCCTTTATATATCTAAACATCAGTCAGATCTATAAATACTTATTAAATTTCTGCCAAGTAAATTGTGTCAGATTTTCCTAAAGCAGATATGAAATATATAGGGAGATAAAACATAAAGTTATTATCTAATTATAAGTTTTTAATAATATATGGTTGTAGTTATAGTTACAAAAATAGTTTTATTCTTTTTCTGTTTTAAGATTATCATACAAACTTTTTTTGTTCTTAAGCATTTTTTTTTTTTTAAGAGACAGAGTTTTACTGTGTTGCCCAGGCTGGAGTACAGTGGCATGATCATAGCTCACTGTAACCTCAAATGCCTGGACTCAAGTGATCCTCCCATTTCAGCCTCCTGAGTAGGTAGGACTACAGGCACACACCAACACACTAGGTTAATTTTTGTATTTTTGGTAGAGACAGGGTCTTGCCATGTTGCCCAGGCTAGTTTTGAACCCCTGGCCTCAAGCAATCCTCCTACCTTAGCCTCCCAAAGTTCTGGAATTACAGGAGTGTGCTGCTGTGCCTGGCCAAATCCTACTTCCCAACAGAACCATATCTCATGAATATTTGGTTATATCATTAAGTATTGTTCTACAGCTCATTTTTAATGGCTTTATATTTTTTCATTGAGTGAATAAGTAAGTTGTCATTAACTTAACCATTCCTCTGTGTTTGAACATTTGGTGTGTTTCTAGTTTTTAGATAACATAAATAAGCATTTTGTGCATAAATTCTTTCCATATTGAGGATCACTTTTTTAGTATTTCTAGAAGTAGTATTGAAGCAGGGACTATGGATATTTTTAAAGCCCTGAATTCAATTTTGGAAAAATTTTTAACTGCAGACTAGTTGCCATCTATGTGTTTTTCTTTTCTATTGAGTTACTATATGGATGCAGTACAAATTGGCTTCAGTGTTAGACTTACACAAACACAAAGAATAACTCTATTGTTACTGTAAGTTTCCCAAAGCCAAATAATGTATAATATCTGAAGTGTTAATACTACTATTCATTTTTATTAATATGCCTGGGTAATGGAAAGATTGTAAGATTTCTTTTGTTCCCCCAAATAAGAAAAACTGAAATGGTAGATTTCAAATTTTATACTTAAAATCTGTAATTAATATAGAAAGATTTCATTTTTATTTTAGACAGTCTTTTCACAGAAAAATTTAGTATTTATAAGTTGGGATCTCACATGGGTATAAGTAGAACTGACTTACAGAAAGTAATCCTTC